ACTGCTTGTAGAACTTTGTTCTGTTGAGTTTCTGGAATCTTAACAATTATATGCCTATGTGTAGTTTTTTTTGATCAAGGCTATTTGGTGTCCTATATGCCTTTCTTACCTGTATGTGAAGTTGTTTTCCCCTGCTTGGGAAGTTTTCTGCCATTACTTCTCTGAACAGTTTTTTTATGTCATCTGCACTCTCTCCTGTTTCTTCATTGACTCCAATCATTCTTATGTTATTCTGCTTTGAATCATCTCGCAGCTGCTGGATTGATTTCTCGTGGCCCCTTAGTATTTTAAAGATATTTTTCTTTTTCTGGTCACTAATTGCAATCTTATCTTCTATATCTGAAATTTAGTCTTCACATTTGCTCTTTCTGTCGTGTAAGCTTTCAGTGGAGGTTTAAATCTCTTGGAAATCTGTTTGCATCAGTTTTATGGATTCCATTTGTTTCCTATCTTGGGATTCCATCTTGTTCCTCAGCTCCTCTATTTTTTTAAATCTGTATCCTTTTTAGATTTATTAATCATGTCTTGCACTATGGTCACAATCTCTGCTTTATCTGAGAAATTATTTCTGATTTTATTTTTTCCAGATCCTCTTTTGTTGCAAGTTCAGGATGTCCAGGTGGTTGAGTATGAGTGTTCCATCTCGTTTCCCTTTGGGGTTGCTTTAGGTGATCTGGAAGTCTGGTTTTGAGACTTTTTTTACATGTCTTCTCATTTTGACAGGGCGGGGGGGGGGCCATGTTGCTGGCACCTCTGCAGCTCACCTCCTCTGCACTGAGGGGGTGGTATGGAGGCCCAGAAGCCTCCTCTTTGGCGCTGGCATCGGCTTACCTCCTCTGCACTGGGGGAGGGGGTGGTATGGTGGCCTGGAAGCCTCCTTCTGGGTTCTGGGAGTGGCTCACCTCCTCTGCACTGAGGGGGGTGGTTCGGTGGCCCACAAGTGTCTTCCTGGGTGCTGGGAGCAGCTCACCTCCTCTCCCTAATTTCTATTTTTAAATTGATGGTTTGTGATTAGTATTTTAAAATTTAATGGCAAAGCCTCAATTTTTTTCTGTTAATACACAAACTACATAATTTTTTTTTAGTTTCTTGAATAAGTGTTTTTCTTCACAAAGAACATAATTTGGGCAACTTAAACGTGTGATCTTGGGATTAGTCTGGCAGATGAGTCTTGTATATGTACTCAGCACACTGTGGTAGCCTGGTGGCTATCCTCTTGTCGACCCCCAGCTTTAAGGGGCATACATGATATGGTAGTGATGATGGGGCAGAGGAGGGGTAGTGGATAGATGCACATCCACCCAGCCAGATGCATAGGTAACCTTCGTACCCAGATAGCAGTAATATAACCATTCAAGGACACGTGAGAAAAGTCTGCTTGGCGTAATCCTGTTTAAGTGTAGAATTTATGATAAAGTTTTTTGCAAGATAATATAAGAAATAAAGGCAGGGAGAAACCAGCTCTTTGTGTAATAGTATTTGTCACTGGATATTTTTAAAGAGTTTCAAGATGCCACCTTGTACTCAGTGTGTCCTGTAAGAGGAAGAGCTGAAGTTCTGGGGTACAGCAGCCTGAATTGGAATCTTGCCCCTACTGTTTCTACCTTTGTGACCTTGGGCAATTTATTTCATCTCTAACCCTTGGTTTCTGCACTGATTAATAGATACAATCATAGTGTGATGATAAAATATGATTATAAGTGTGATGACGAATTCTTTTATTAGGAGCTGGAAGGTAGAGCACTTGCCTAGCATTTGCTAGGCTCTGGCTTCTGTCCTCAGCGCCAACAAAAAACTTCTCTGCTTTTTGTTTTTTTGTTTTTTGGTACCAGGGATCGAACTTAGGACCTTGCACTTGTAAGGGACCTTGTGGTTTCGAGGCAGACAGCAGAACCACTGAGCTAAATCCCAGCCCAAAAAAATTCTCTTAAATGTGCCCTCTGGCACTTGGTATGCTGTTGGTATATTTTGCCTATTATCTGTGATCACTGTTTCTTTTTTATTTTCCATTAAGTTTATTGGTACATTTTAGGTATACAGTACAGTTACATTCATTATTGGGATCTTGTAGTTTTACATGATATATCTTGGTTCTTATTTTTTCCCCATTCCCCTGCCCTCCCTTCACCCCCTCCACCCTTCCCTATTTACAGAGATTTTGTTTCCATGTTTTTCCCCTTCTCATATTTTTTCTTTTCCCTTCTTTCCTTCCCCCTACCCCTCCTACTTCCCCTTCTCCTTTAGATATTTTCTTCCTATTTCAGAATATCAATTATACATTTTGATCCTTATTTACACTTTTAGAGAAACTATTCAGTATTTACACGTGTGTCCTGTTTATTTCACTTAAGAGTATCACCTCAATGTGCATCCACTTAGCTATAAATGTCTCTAGTTTCTTGTCCTTTATGGCTGAGTAGTATTTCATTTTATAAAAAAAAACCCACATCTTCTTTATCCAGTTTCCAGTTGATGGGTAATTGGGCTGTTTCCAAGTTTTAGCTATTACAAACTGTGCCGCTATAAACATGGGTGCACATGTTATCTCTGTGGTTATGATTCTTTTAATTCTTTGGGGAAGATACCCAGCAGGGGAATAGCTGGGTCAAATGGGAATTCTAATCCTAGTTGTTTGAGGTATATGATTGTTGCAGAAATCTCGGAAAGAAATACACAGAGATACAGAATTTGGATAAAATAATAAAATTTCTTCTGGAGAGCAGCTGGAACGCCAGAAACCAGTCTGGTCAGTATCCCCTCCCCCTTTGTTCAGTGTTTCCCTTTTTATATCCTTTTTAGCCATTATCTCATCCCTAGTGGTCTTTGATGTGTAAATACAATTCCAGTTCCTATTTACAAGTCACAGACACAAGATGGGCACATATACATTGTAAATTCACCCTGGCATTGTAACTTTGTTAAGTTAATGAAGTTACTGGTTAAAGAGTCAGATAACTATCACTTTAAACAAGGAGTTATGGGAAAAGCAAATCTTAAAAGAACACATTACTTATTTTTCTTCTACAACTACCTTAATATTCAGTCTATTAAAGTTATCTAAAACTTTTCCGTATCATGATCACTATTTCAACTACTTAAGCAATAATGAATCTTAACCTTAAAGGAATCTGGTGTGTTTTTCTGGTATTTATTATAGTTTTTCAATGTTATCATAATATAGAGTCTGATTTAAGTCACATTCTGAACTTGTAACTAATTAAAAATACCACCTTAAGAAGAACTAGTTTTTTTATAGTACTTGTATATTTCAGGGGACATAAGTAGCATAAAAATTTGAGCATTGCTGAGTACAGTGTTTCTCAACCTTTTTTTTCCTCATTATTGCTCCCTGTAAGGTACCTTAAATTTTTTTCCATAATTACTTCCTCCAGTGAGATTTTAACACCACTGATCTGCTGTGTATCTATTTCCGTACTGTGGTGCTTTGGATGACTACAGCCATTATGCTGTATACATTTTTGAGGACTTTTTATTTGTTTTTGTCCCACAAGAGTCAATTTTCACATCCATAGGAACATCATCACCTCTGTTGAGAATATGTGATTTAATGCAGTGATTTGCAATCAAGGGCAATTTTGCCACCAGAGGACATTTGTGAACATTTGGAGACATTTTTTGGTGGCCACAACTTGTGGTGGGCGAGTGGGGCTGCTGTTGGTATTGGTATCTTGTGGGTAAAAGTCAGGGATGCTGCTAAGCAGAATGTTGGCCTCCCATAGCAGAGAATTATCTGGCCCCAAATGTCAGTAATACTGAGTTTGCAAAACCCTTCGCTAACATGATAGGGAATGTTAAATGTACTCTGAGTCACCAAGAAATCATTAAGGTGAAAGTGGGCTGTGCCAAGTCAAAGGCCATAAGGAAAGCGAAGAGCAGAAGTTGGATTCCTGACCTTCAAGTTGAGTCCATAGGCAGTATGGCTTGCTTGTCTAGAAAAAGATCCATCTTTGTCTTCTTAAATATTGTTGCTATTTTTCAATAATATACTGATTTTTGTTCTTCCTGTTGGCTATGTGTAAAAATATGTATAAGCACTTTACAGATATAACAATTAAATTTCTCTTTTCTATTTTTATAGAGATGTATCCTGCTTTATAAAACAGATTAATTCTTGAAAATTATATAAATTCATTTTCTATAATGTGCATTTATTCTTCTGGCTTTATTACATTATATTTTGAGAAGCTCAGCTTCATTCCTAATTAATTTTCATTTGACCTGGCTCTGAACATTGTTACTTTAAATTTAGCCGCCTCTCCTGATTTTAGAGATTGGGGACAATTTAGGAAGAGTATTTAGCTCAGTTGTAGAATGCATGCTCAGCATGTGCAAGGCCCTGGGTTCCATCCCTAGCACCAGAAAAAGAGTGGTGTGGGTTGACATCAAAAGTGAGTTGGCCTATTCTCTCATATACATGGTCCAGGCTGTGTGCCCAGAGCTCCTGTCACCCCTCTTTTCCCTGTCAGGCTCACATTCCCTTCTTCTGCTGCCCAGAGTTGGCGTAGAGGAACCCTCCGAAGAGGACCAGAATGAACACCGCTGGCAGTATTTCAGGTGACACAAGGGCATCCTCACAAAACAATTAACTGGGCCTGGCTTTTCTCCTCTTTCTAACCTGAGATATTTCTCTTAATTGTTGTTTCTTCCTTCCTGTGTGCACACCACACTCCCCTTTTAGCCAAGGGGCAAGAGTTTAAGTCAATTCCGATCATTCATTCCACTGTTTCTCTGGATTGACTGATGTGTCAATTTTCCTGGGATTCTGTTCTCTTTCCCCATATTTTTGGCAGTGTGTTGCTAAGTTGGCAAGTATCGCCTTCAGGTACAACTGAGCTTAGTGTTAAGAGCAACTTATTTTCAAAGATGCCGATACTTTTCTCACAAAATCTTGCCTATGACCTAGTAAATAAGGCTTGTAACTCATCCAGAGAACTAGAATTTCAAATTTCAGCAATGACTGGGGCATGACTTATACCATCTTAATTAAATACCAGTGCTGTGGTTTCTTAAAGTATGTTATTTGCACTTTCTCACCGTGATTCAGAAAATGTGAAGAACTTTTTAACAAAAGAATAGATTTTTCTAATGTAATTTGTTTTTCAGTATGCACCCAAGGTCATGTTGTAATTATGCTTAAGAGTGATGTAGGAACAAACTGGGTAAAAACTTGAATGCTTTGTCTTTCCTTTAAATAGCTCTAATTGGCATGCTTTCTTTCTATTTTCTTGGTACTGGTAGATAAAAATAGGCTTGAACTCTCTTCTTGGCATTGTGAAAAATCTCTCTCCCTGAGGGCAGTGGTGAAAGTGATGCCTGTACACTGAATGTACGTTGAAATGACACACTTGAAATTGACTTAAGTATCTAAGCTCACTGGATTCACCCTTTTTTGTACTGTACACACATACACAGAGTTCATTTTTGGAAACCTGACTTTAGGTACCAGTTAAACTACGGAGGAAACCCTTACCTTTGAAGCATCTTACCTTCAAAAAAGAAGATCCTCCAGGCAAGTGTAAGTTATTACACTTAGGATATGGGACATGAGAGAATTCAGGGTATGATCTGGTGTTCAAGGTTTTACATGGAGGTATTGTCTGATTTTTCATATTATTCAAAGCCTTAACTATTCAAATTTTAAATATTAACAATGGCAGGGTGGGGGTGTAGCTCAGTGGTAGAGTGTGTGCTTAGCATACATGAAGCCCTGAGTTCAATCTTCAGCACCACCTCCCTCCAAAAATTATTGATTAAAGTAAAATACTTCTAAAATTTTTGAGATTTCTTGGCATTTTATCTGTTAATCAGAATGGATAAGTTATTAAAGGGAAAACTATCAGTTTGGGTATTTAATTATTCTAGAATGAGCATATCAGTTTGATCACTTTATTTTCTCATTTGGTGTGGGCTTTCCACATTTGTCTCATGCTTATGAAAATACAAATAACTCACTTCATTCTGGAAGAAAAAACTGTTGTATGTGCTCCAATGAGCCAAGGTGTATAAAGGGAATGCTAAAATATGATGTATTAAAGTAGCACACAAAGTTACAGATATACACAGTGACCTGGATCAAAAAGCATTGTAGCAGGTCAGGAGAGAGATATAAATTGTGGAGAGTTGCCTGAAACCAGGAATTTCAGAAAGTTAAGTGATCATATCATGTCTTCTGAGGCTTTAAATCTGCAATTAAAATTGAATATCTGATCTTGTTGCCTAGCACCATACCATGTACCCTAGACCATTGCTTTATTTCCTGTTCTCAGAGACTGCTTTGGTTCTGGGCTGTGCTCCAAGGGTGGGGTCTTTAGTAGAGCCCCAGAATCCTGTGTCATTCTTAGGGATTGGTCCAAGGGCCTTCAAGCCTGCCAGTAAAGTAATTATTAAATAACCTGAAAGTAAACAGTCTTGAATGGGAAAAGACACTGCAAAAGAACATCATTTGTGTCTGGTGGCCCCTGATCTGTTTTCTTTCGGGCATTTAAAAGGCAGTAGCAAGCTGGGAAGCAGTTCTGTCTGTCTTTTCTTGGAATATTCCTTTTAAGCACTTATCCTGGTAGCAGGGGCCTCCAAAAGATCCCAGGGGGTCTTCCCACATTCCTCTATCTGTGGGTGGGCCTAGGAGGTCCTTTCCAGCTCTGTGCTGTCAGGAGTTTGCGTTATATCTCAGATAGGTAGCTGATAGCAAGTGGCTACTGTGAAGATTGGAATTTCCATGGCAGAATGATAATAAAAGCAAGAAAATGGGGTACTGGGTAAGACTGTCTTTAGCACTACAGGTTTCCAGGGCATGATCTGAAAATGGCTGCATTGTTTGGAATTTGCTTAACCATGTCTCAGTTAACTAGCATTTTTCTCCTTGTCCTTCACTTTTAGAAGAAAGAATCTCCACAAACATTCCGGAATGTATTTATCTGGAAAAGAAAACCACATAATTACTAGAACCTATATTCACTTAATACCTGTACTTACCTATAGCACCTTACATTTATGAATCTTTACAATTTGTGCTAAAGACCTGGAATGAATGATTCATGATGTCCATGAATCATCAATATTGTAGATAAAGAGATATAAAAGTAGACAGTCGTGTTCCTGAAACATGTTTACCAAGGATGTAATTAAGTATCCTTTTTAAATTGTGAAAATTGTTAAATATGCAAAAAGGGCAAGAATAGAACAATGAGATACATAGGTACTAACCTGGACTCATCACTTGTTAATATTTTGTCATTTAGGGGATAATTTTTGCCATATCTGATTCTCACTCTCAACTGTTTCAAAATACTTGCATATTTGCAGACTTTCCACTCATAAATATTATTGCATGTATCTTCTAGGAATCTAGTCTCCTACATGATCATACACTTGAGAAAACCTGATTTTACAGACACACGCACATACACATACATATGCATGTCCAGGATCCAATCAAAAGTTTGATTGTCATATCTGTTTAATGTCATTTAATCCAGAACAATCACCTCCCTTGGGTCACTTATGGCATTTTTTTAGGTATTCAGGATATTTATTCACAGAATGTCCCATAGTCTGGATTTTTCTGATGTTTCATCATGGCTAAAGATGGATAATCATTTCTGTCAAAAATCCTGTAGAAGTGGTGTTACACATTTCTTGTTGTATCCTGTGAGATGAAGGGCATGTTGTCAGACTTCCCCTTTATTAATGGTGTCATACTTGTTCACTTAGGGTAATAACCTTGAGTCTCTCTACAGTCAAGGTACTATTTTCTTTTTGTAATTATAAGGTATTCTGTAGAGTGACCTTTTGACATTACTCAATGGCCAAATTCCCAACAACCTTTTACCCAGGGGTAAAATCGTTCACTAATGATCCTTGCCTGAAACAGTGACTACCTTGGGGGCAGAAAATGGCAGTTTTCTGATTTTATCATTTCACTTTTATAAGATGATGTTCTCTTGAAAGAAGAACTATAGAGGATTTAAAAATTTGTTTTGTATACTGATGAAGTAAGGAATCTCTCCATTGACTAAATAATCAGTACAAGCATAGTTTTAATTTAATATTTATGAGATTTGGAGTTGCATCTCTGCAGGATCCCAGGAGGAAATTGGGTGTTATCATTGAGAAAGCAGAGAGAAGATGGTTGTTGCTTTCTTAGTAGGGCAAAAAATGATAGTATAGAGACATGGGTAGAATTGGTACTTTCTAGAATCTGCCTTGTCCAGTTCAGGAACCACTAGCTACATGTGGCTATTTAAATTTCAGTTAATTAAAACTAAATTTTAAAATGCAGTTCTCAGTCATACTAGCTGTGTTGCAAGTGCTCAGAGGCCACACGTGGTTAGTAGTCACCATATTGGACAGTGTAGATGTAGAACCCTGCTATTGTTGCCAGAAGTTCTACTAGGCAGCGCAGATCTAGAACTACTCTGTTTTTTCCCCAGAACAAAATGGCAAACCTCATAGGTTTGGGATAAGATTAGGGTGGCCCTCATTTCATGATTTTTCCAAGTTATTGCAATGTTTTGGGCATTGTTTAGAATTCTGCCCTGGTCAGGATGAACAGATGGGTTCCACCGAGGTCTTTAGGACTTGAGTGAAAATGGCCCAAGCCTTGTCTTTATAAGCATAAAGCATATATATTCTTGTTGAACAGAATTTATTTTAATTCCTATTAAACAGATTTTCTTTTCCTAATAGAGATGAAAAGAATAGAGAAGGCCAAATTTCATTAAAGGCAAAAGGCAGTAGTATTTGACTTTATTTTCTTCATTGTAGTACAGGACACATGTAAGTCTTTTTCTCATCCATAGGCCTCCTATTTCATCTGGGCTGATAAGGTCAATTTGTTTTATCTTTAATGACATTGAAGCCATGTACAAAAGTTATAAATCTTTTAAAATTCACACTACTGAATGGAGAGATTATTAGTGACAGGTCTGAACTGCCATATTTTTGGCCATCCTGCACATTATGTCCCACTCCCCCCAGCAGCCTCTCTGTGGTTAGGCTGAGGGCAGCCATACCACCTGACTTACAGCTAGGCTAAGAGACTCTGTTCACTAGCACTCTGCCCCTCTGAGTCTGCAGCTGGGAGCACATCTTAAGTAAATCAGTCTGACACAAAGTGGCTTTGTACTGCTATATAATCCACCAAATGAAGCTTCATAGTGGATTCTTATCTGTTAACCTTACACATTCAAACACAACCACCAGATGATTTTTTTCTATGGAGTGTAGATTAAGAGACTCTAAAAATGGGTGGGGGTTAAAGATCAGCAGCTATGAATGCAATGCAACCTCTCCTATAGCCCCATTCTTTTCTTACACACTTTACATGCACTGGGGTTCTGGCCTGACTTTTGTGGGCAACCCTTGGGTTCCTCAATTAGATGATTTTCATATCAAAGATAACTGTGAAATTTATTGCTCAAACATCCCTAGATAATGTCCAGTGGCCAGGAGAAATTTCTAGCCCACAGAAATCACTGCCGGGAAGTAGCCTCTAGCCTGTGTAAAGTCCATTTAATTCAACCCAAGGGTCCCATCCAACCCCAGGCCCCTGGGGAGGAAATCTGGTGCTAGGCTCCCTGCAGGCTTTAACCAAGTGCTCAGAACAGTGCCTGGCAGAGTAGAGTCTGTAAATTCACCCTGTAGTTTTAAACTTTGCCTTCAGCATAATATGAGGCATTTCATTTTCTGTCCCCTTTCACAGGGAACACATTTAAGTGAGTGCTCTGCAAGCCTGGAATAAGACAGGCTAGCAGCTGGCATTGAGAGGTTGGGTACATCTGTGCTGTCTCCTGCCCACCCCCATTTCCATGTAGTTTATTTTCGTAAGAAAAATTCTGGTTATCACAGGTAGGAGAGAGGAGGAAGAGAAGAAAAGCAAGCATTTGGGGGCTTTGTGCCTTCATCGTCTGTCCATTGGAGTCAGTGCCCTGATAGCAGACAGCAAAGACACCCCTGCAAAGCCAACTTGGCACCTCTCTTCAAGTACAGATCCCACCTAATCTGCTGAAAGTCAAGTTCTTGGTTTACCTTTTATGACTTCATCCATTCTTTATAACACTTGACCCCGGAGCAAGTAAAGGAAGATAGAGGATTTTCCTGGTATCTTTGTTTTCTCCCCCATTGCTCCATGTTATCTACATCATCCATGTCATAGTTCTCTACCTCAGAATTAGGAAAGTGCTGGGATAGAAAATTAACATATGGGGCCAGGGATTTAGCTCAGTGGCACCGTGTCTGCCTCGAAAACGCAAGGTCCTGAGTTCGATCCCTGGTTACTAAAAACAGAAAGCAGCAAAAAAAAAAAAAAAAAAAAAAAAAAAAAAAAGAAAAGAAAAAGAAAATTAACAGATGCATAGAGCAACAGTTGGTACATGACCAAGACAGCAGCCTCATTGCTTTCATGGAATTTATTATAAGTTGATTTTGTCACTTTGTCTTTTCTTTCCATCTTCAGTTGTTGCTCTCAAATGTGTGAATTTTTGGTTCATCTTTGATGTGGGAAAGTGTGAGGGTATCAGGATTAAAGCAAGTCAAGATTCCAGTTAATGATACTGCTGAAGAAAACATTACCCTGCCACTTGTTAAAAGGGCAAGGTAAACTTTATTTTCAGGATCATTAGTGCTGGTACAGGGACTACTATGATGGGATTTTGCAGTGCAAGAAAAAGATAGGGTTGAATGGATGGAGAGTTATAGAGGAAACATCAAGGTAAGGAAAATTCTGTCTAAACTGACCTACTAGGATTCTTGCTGAAAGGCAGGGCAGGGTGATCAGACATCACCTGGGGGACAGTGGGGGATGATGTCCTTCATTAGATATTGAGGGAGATGAGGTAAAGGTGAGGTTCTCACTAAACTGATTTAGCAGGATTCTTTGCTAAAATTGAGTAATACAGAGTAAGATCCAGAAGCCTAAAAGTCAGGGCCTAATTGGGAAGAGAATTCAGAGGAGCATGGCTCAGGTTGGGACAAGGAGAGGCTGCCACTATGCATATGGAAATAGTCAGGGGAAGTGTACTGACATCTGCTGCTTTGAGTGCATGCAAAAAAGTAAGATCGAAAATGGAGAAGTATATAGGTCATAAAGAAACTGCAGTAAAATTTTAGTGGATCATGTGGTGGTGGGCAAACAGGTGTTCGCTATAAAGTCCTTTAACACTTTCCTAAATAATTGAATTTCATAACAGAATATTAGGAACATCGGCACAGGTTGGGGTGGCCACATTTTGATAAGGAAGACCACCTGGCACAGGAAAGCAGCTACACAGTTGGCAGCATGGGCTATGTTCGGAGGGTGTGCTGTTTCCAGAGGCCTTGCTTAGGACATAAACACACAGGATTTTTTATCCCCATTCTCTGGGATCTGATATAGTATGTGACCCAACTTGTGCATGGCAGCCTTTCTCTCTGTAGCTAACCACTCCTTCTGCTTTGGGAAGATGGTTCTGACTTCAGCCCACATGACTACCATGGGCCAAACTAATACTTGCTGTTCTTTTCCTTGTCCTCCTCCCTGGTGACTTTTAGAGTTGGTGTTGACCCAGATCAAGACCCACCGCCTAACAACGACAGCTTTCAAGTCTTACAAGGGGTAAGTGACAAGACATGTTTCATCCCAGGAAAGATATGATTAAAAGTAGCTCAAATTTAGTGTGCATTTCCTATATGCCAGGTACTTTACCGGGACTCCCTGGTTGTCATCTTGACAATACCCTTTTGAGATGAGTACTGTTATCTCCATTTTACAGATTAAAGTTTAAGGGTGAGGATTTAAGTGAGTCATCTAAGGTCAGAGAATTAGAAAACGATTTATTTTCTAAGTGAAACAGGCCAGGAGCAGCTGGATAGTCAGGAGAGATTTCATCTTAATCAATCACAACATCCCCAGTCCTTCTGCTCTTCCCCGTATTCCAACCTCTGCACTCAGTCACCTGTAGAAGGACATAAGTGAAATGGTTTGGTTGGTTTCATCCCAAGAACTTAACTGTACATCTCATAAGATCTAGACACTGGAAACACCAGGCTTGAATTAGACTGAGTAGTACACTTGCTGTCACTTTTCCATGGGAAATACTTGAGAAACAGTAGGTTTTAAGTGCTAAGGGTTCTGGCATTTAGTCCTTTTGGTGACATGTAAAATAGTCCCCATCCTCAAGTGAGATGAGTCAACCTGAACAAGACTGTTCAAGCAGCTCAGTGTGCCTGTTGGCTCCTGGAGGATCCTTTAAGGGCAAGAGCACTGCACATCTGGCACTAAGTAGACTGGCAGCAGCTTCTGCTACACTCCTGATGGCACCTCGTTTGCTAGCCTAGAGTGGTGTCATGGCTTCCTCTGACCTCCTCCTTCCAAACCTCATATAGTAATGAACAGCAGCCCTCAGAATCAGTTCTGCTAACCTTTTGAAAGCTGTTAGGATTGGTGTCAGGATGGGAAAAATAGGTAAACTTCAGGCCTGGTTCCCCAGGACACTCTTTCAGAAACACCAATGTTCAGGAAGTCCTTTTTTCTCCTTATCTTCTTGACCTGGCCTCATTTCAGTGAGCCACTCAAGGCAAGGATGGGAGTGCTTAGTGATCATGAGAAACAGGAAAACAAATAAATGGGCGTCTCAATTTTGGGTGAAACCCTGGGTTCTTGCAGTTTCCCCTGAAATAGGTCCAGGCCACATGCTCAGTTTTGTCATGAAACTGAAAAAAGAGGTAGGGAAATTCCAGATGTTTGTCTTCAGTAGAAAAGGTAGTTCTGACTTCATTTTCTAAATGATCTTCCTAAAAACAACAAAGACAGTGATATTTGACAGGAGAGCATTTCTTAGCATAAGGGCAGTTTCCCCCTACTGATTCTGGAAGGTTGTAAACAGTGTCATGGCTACAGAGCTACAGCCTTAGCTCATGTAGGAGAAAGAAAGGAATGGTTGGCTGGAACTTTTGACTCTGTGTAAGGGAAGCACAAGAATATTGTGGGCAGACTTCAGCTTTGTGTCCCTGGCAAGTTTGACTCAGAACAAAACAAGACTGAAAATGCAGTTGCTTTGTTTCTCTGGAGGTTTTAGTGACTTTACAACCAAAACAAAAACAAGCTCAGCTGGAAACAAGCTGCCCAGCCTGGGGGGTTGGCCTCTCACCCCATTCAAGGGGGAACTTCTCATGCCAGACCAGACACAGCTGAGATTTCTGTTGGCCGGACATGCAGACACATCATTCATTTCCTTCCTCAGGTTTCCAGAAGAGCATTCATTGATGAGGTCCCTTTGGAGAGGCTAAAAGTGTGACTCTGAAGTGATCCTGGTTTTATTGTATCAGCAGGAGCAGTGTACAAGCTAGATATTATGTGGAAAAAAGGAAACCACAGTTTATGTGTGTGCATATGCATGCATGTATGCATAAATATGTGCATGTGTGTAGTGAGAACTGTAGAAAATCAGCTATTTATAGTTGCATTGACCTAGGACTTGGTGAACAAGTTGAATTAATTTGTTTCTGGCTTCTCTGACTGAAATCAGATACCTGGTCACCTAAATCTTTTAACTTCAGTTGCCAAAGTGACTTTCCTCAAATTACTACTCTCTGAGACCCCTCCCCAAGCTTTTGCTTTTTGTCTTACAGTTGCATCCTTTGGCACCTTAATTTCCCTTTCTACTATTTTTTGTTTTCTAGAACCCCTGAATAAACATTAATTTACTTATCCACTTGACTGATATTTTTGAGCACCTGTTAAATATCAGACCTTTTAGGCTATGGGAATAGTTCTGCAACAAGACAGGTGAATCTGTCCTAAAAAGCTTGGTGACAGTGTGATGAAGGTGGGTAGAGAGTAGCAGAAGTGACATGGTGTAGGGCCTTATCTGCCCTGCACCCAGGGAGCACAGAACTATCCTTGCTACTCTGAGTGTTCCTGTGGCCCAGCATTTCAGGAGAGAACTTGCTAGAAATGGAAACGCTCAGGGCTTACTCAGCCCCACTGAAACATAATCTGCATTTTTCCAGTATCCCCAGGGTGTTTGGTACAGTGTACAATTTGTGAAGCCCTGGGCCAGGTAAGGTAGAACTGGGGAAGAAAACTGTCTTATTAAGCAAGGAAAGAAACTATCTGTGAAGCACTGTCATGGACTTGATTCCCAGGTATAAAATATCTTGGTCTCATTACCCCATGATATACAAAAGGGAGGTTCATAAATTCAAGGCCAGCCTAAGCACCTTAGTGGGATCTGTCCCTAAAATAATAAAAGAGCTGGGATATAGCGTAGTGCAAAGGCCCTGGGTTCAATCACGAGTACCAGAGAAAAATCCCAAGTCAAATTACATCATCTATTTGGTCTTCTGTTCTTTCTTAGTCTTCTGGGACCACTGTAATAAATTACCCCAAAGTCTGTGGCTTGAATTACATGGTTTTATTATCTGGCAGTTGGATAGATCAGAAGTCTGGTGGGCCCAGCTTGTTTCTCTGCTTCAAAGCCAAAATCAAAGTGTGAACAGGGCTGGGCTTTGGAGAGGAAGCCAGAGCAGGCTCAGTCAGGTTGTTGGTGAAATTCTATTCCCTATAGTTGTAGGACTGAGGTCTGATATCTTTTTCATCTGTTTATGGAGCATGGGGTTGGGAGAATCACGCCTGTCTCCTGGAAGCCACCCATATTCCCTGACTTGTGGCCACCGCTATCTTCAAAACCAGTAACAGCGGTGGATTCCTTGTCACATTCTGAGTCTCTTTTGCCTCTTCTTTCACTCCATGTCTCTGACTCTTTTGCCTGCTTCATCTACTTTATAAGGACCTGTGTGATAGTTCTGGCCTGCAGACGTAACCCTGAGTCAGTCCATAAAGCCCCTGTTCCCATATGTATAACATACTCAAAGACTACAGTGATGAGGATGTGGAAATGAATGGGTGGCCATCATTCTTCCTATGACATGCTCTATGCCTGGGAAAATGTGAGATGTTCTCATTAATGTAAACTTTAAAAAATTTAACATTATGAAAGAGTGGAATAAAATATAACTATGAAAATACCAGTATTCTTTGATTCTAGAAAAATTATTTCAAAAATAATGCTATTTGCTGTTCATTGGTAGTTTAATCACCTTTCTTTTTCTTCATGAAAAAAGAATATACAGTAAAATCTTGGTTTGCAAGCATAATTCATTCCAGAAAAATACTTGTAATCCAAAGCACTTGTATAGCAAAGTGAATTTCCTCATAAGAAATAATGAAAACTCAGATGATTTGTTGTACAACCTTAAATACTCATATAAAAATGATTATAATACTGTAATATAATACAGAATAATAAAGAAAATATAAGATATTTTAAAAATAACCTGCACTTACCTTTGAAAACCTTCATGGCTGGTGTGAAGGAGAAGAGAGAGGAGGGTTATTGTGTAGGATGACTTCCACTATCACTAACAGAATGACTGCTATCTATTGGCTCAGTGGAATCTTTCTTTTTATGCAACTTTAACAAAGAATCTGTGCAATGACACTTGCTTTTGCCTCCTTTTGAGGATTTTGCAGAAAAGTGACACTGCATTGTCATTAAACAGATTCATCCCATGTACTACTACAGCCCTATTTGGGTGGTGCTTTTCTATAAAATTTTGTACTGTTTCCCATATTGTACACATCTTTCTAATCTCATTTGAAGTGATGGATTCCTCTGACTTTATCTCCTCATCTGCAGACAAGATCGCCATAACATCTTGCTGTTGGGAGTTAATCACCCACAATACCACAGCGAGCAAGTGAGCAGGGGGAAGGGAGGGAACCATTGGCTCAGTTGTGATCTTGTACCATTCAGCATCACTTGTAAGACATTGCTCATTTATCAATTTAAAATTTTTTAGAAATGTTTGCTTGCTTTACGGACCTGACATTGTGCCTGGCACATAGCAGGCACTTAATGCAGAAAAATACACATTTATTGTTACATGCTCAAAATGTTAGCGAGCAGGGTTGACGATCATTATTTTTGAAGCAGTTACTCTGTTCATAATGTCAGTAAAAAGATTTAGAATAGGGCCGGGGATTTAGCTCAGTGATGCTGCCGCCTGTTTCGCAAGTGCAAGGACCTGAGTTCAATCCCTAGTACCAAAAAAAAAAAAGATTTAGAACCCTTCGTGTAAAAAGCTAAACAAAATAGCTCAATGACATTAATGACTAGGTTGCCCCCTCCTAGAAATATGTGTGTGAAATGACATGAATTATTCGGTCTTTGGAAATGAACTCAATTAACAATATGTGCTCTAAATGTGTACCAGACACAGTGCTAAATATTTTACAAATATTTCATCAGCACCGAAAAAATCATATGGCTAATACTGCCCTAAGTTCTTTCAATATAAAAATCATTTACACCTCTAAAATAAAAAACTGTCTTTTTTGGTATTCAAACACTTCTAACAAAAAACACTTTTTTCTTTTTTTTTACCCATGCCAACTACTTCTCTAATACTTAGTGCACATCAACAAGATGTCCCATATTTTAACTTCATTCTGACCACCAATGGCTTGGAGTTGGCATCAGACCCCACAAGCTCAGTCCCACAAGACTGCCCACATTTCAGATGCCAGCTATCAAGTCCCAGGTTGTGACCTGTACTTCGGACTGACTGGCAATAAATCAGGAGTTCCTCCAACCTCCTCCTCATGTATAATAATTGGCTAAGATGACTCATGAAATTCAGGAAAGCTCTTTGCTTAGCATTACTGTTTTTTTTTTAAATAAATGATACAACTCAGCAGCAACCAAACAGAAAGGATGCATAAGGCAAGGTATGATAACAGCTGCATTGAGCTTCAATGCCTGTGCCTGGCATACTGCTCTTCCAACACCTTGATATGTTTGCCAACTTAGAAGCTCTTTAAACCTTGGTATTGAGTGGGTTTATGGAGAGTTCCATTACACAGCCATGGTTGATGAAATCATTGGCCATCAGTGATTGACTAAATCCCTAGTCGCTGTCCCTCTTTGGAGGCTGGGAATGGAGCTGAAAGTGCCAGCCCTGTAATCACAAGGTTGGGTTCCTCCTGGCACCAGCCCCCAGGCTCCAAGAGTGACCTCATTAGCATAAACTCAGGTATGGTCGAAAGGGACTTATGACTAACAAAATGCCCCTCTTAACCCATTACCTGAGAATTTTGTTTCAGGGATTGGGTTAAGACCAAATATGTATTTCTTGTTATATCACAGTATCACAGCCATCACAGCTCCACAATACCCCTACGAGGTAGGTGATCTTTAATTTTTCTGTTTTATAGGTGAGGCCACTGAAGCACAGAAAGGTTAGGTATCTTGCCCAAAGTCACACAGCAAGGCAAAGACACAGGCAGGACCCTGGTAGTCTGTTGAGAGGGCCTATGATGTTCACACCTACACCTCTTGGAGTTTCCCTTGCTTTTGAAACCTTTCTTAGAGAAGCTAAGCTTGTGAACAGCTTTGAAAGAGGAACCGGAGTCAGCCAGGAAGGTGATGTAGGTATGAGAAAGTGAGGGGAAGAAAGGCAGTTCCTGGCTCTGAGCTAAAGACATGAAGAGTGAACCCATCTGGTAGGAAAGTGGTATTGAGGAAGGACGGGGTGAGAGAGCAAGTCCCCACTTCTTCCATGGCAGCATGGGGATGCCAATCCCAGAGTCTCCAATTGCAGGTGGGAAGGGAGCCACACCTGCCCCCACAGTGGCCTCTGCTCAACCCAGTGCCAATTGGAGCCCACAGGAAGGGCACTCGTGACTTCTCTGTGGTAAAGCAGTTGTTGGTCATCTTCCAGGTCAGCATTAAAAATGAGTTCTGTTCCATAGAACTGCCCCGATTTCTCCAAAGCCACCATATTTGGATTCATCAAAGTCTTCCTGTACCTAATCATGCTCCAAGCACTATCTCTTAGAATAAGAAGTTGTTTAACACGCTTTTTACAAAGCTAACACTTTTGTTTTGCCCCCAGTTTACTCCCCTAGCCTTTTGATGTTGTCTCAGGCTCTTACATTTCGTGATTTGCTACTAAATTTGAGGTCACTTTATCTTACTTATGGATTGTAGACCTTTTTCTTTGTGGCCGAAGAAGCCCTTTTGTTAGTTTGTTGTCAAAAACAAGCTCTTGTCTGGTTGTATTAATTTTAATTATCCCTTTGGGGGCCTTACAGAACTATCCTGTAGCTTCGTGGAGGTGAGAGGAAAAGAATTTAAGTATTCCAGGTGATACTAAATGCATTGTAGTTTTGAAGAGTAGGTCAGTGGTAGAGTGCATGCCTCACATGTGTAAGGCTCTGAGTTCAATTCTCAGTACTGCTGAAAAAGAAGAAGAAGAGGAAGAAGGAGAAGGAGAGGAAGAGGAAGAAAAGATGACAGAGTAGAGAATATTATTTTCATTGTTGACTTATGGGATGAAACTGACTTTGGGAGACTTATTGTGTGTCTGATAGTTTATAGTATCCTTCCTTATGATGTTTGTCATTTTGCTAGCTTTTTTCTTTAGCAGAACTCTACAGGCATGTAAAACAGAGTTTACAGCCAGGCGTGTGATATACACCTCTAATTCTAGCACTTGGAAGGTTGAGGCAGGAAGGTCACCTGGAGTTCCAGGCCAGCCTGGGAAACATAATGAGTTCAGGGCCACCCTGGAATGCATAGTAAGACCCTTTCTCAAAAAAACCTAAAAAAATAAAAAATAAAATACAAAACTGAGAGCTTACAGCCTACCGCTTTATAAAGAACCATTTATTTATTTATTTACTTGAGACAGGGCCTAGGTGTGTAGTCCAGGCTGGCCTTGAACTCATGGTGATCCTCCTGCCTCAGCCTCCCAAGTGCTGGAGTACAGGTGTGCATCACCACACCTGGCTGCCATTTACTTTTTTTTTTTTTGGGGTACTGGGGATTTAACTCGGGTCCTTGCCCTTGTGCAGCAGGTGGCGAAACCACTGAGCTAAATCCCCAGCCCTGCCATTTACTTTTTCCATCAAGATATGACCTTATCAGAAAAGTCATCCACCACCTTTCTACTCAATTATGTGGCATTTTGAAATCCTCCTAGAGTTGTCATTGGTTAGCAATCAGTTATCCAAAGGAACAGTTGTTATTGGTCCATGGAGCTATTTCTGTGTTCTCTTTCTTCCTCATGATTCATACAAATGTAAAATAAAACTGGTCTCTGGGATCTCTTCTTACTTATATTTCCTCATCCATAGAAGGGTACATTTAATTAAGTCATTTTCATGTCCATCCTCAATTACCATGGAAACTCAATTTTTAAAAATAATCTTTGATATAGGAAACTGGGAATTTAAATAATGCTTGCTAATTTCCCTCCTTCTACTTGTCTATATGATTATCTTCCCAAAAGTCTCTGATGAATTCTTTTTTTTTTTTTTTTGTACCGGGGATCGAACTCGGGACCTTGCGCTTGCGAGGCAGGCAGTGAAACCACTGAGCTAAATCCCCGGCCCCTCTGATTAATTCTTGATGTTCCTATTATAGGTAGAATTTATATTTGTTGCAATTTGGAATTAATTTCAGTTTGTTGTTTAGTTTTGAGTACTGGGGATTGAACCCAGGACTTTTGTATTACACTAAGCTCCATCTCTAGGCCCCCCACTTTTAAAAATTTGAAACAGTCTCTAAATTGCCCAGGCTGGGCTTGAACTTGCCATCCTCCTGGCTTACCCTCTCAGGGTGCTAGGATTGCAGGCATACTCCACCATGCTCAGCGTAGTTCAAGTTTTATTTGGTTATTATCAATTGTCCCTCACTTGGAGAGTTGAGTCTCCATATACTATCAAAGAGGATGGTGATAAAAATGGCTGTGCTTCTCCTGCAGTCTGTACTTGTCACCCAGTGACACAGAGCCCTAGCAACACCCCCAAACTGCTGAAGTAAATCTGATTTTTATATTAATTGTGGTGCTTGGATAGAACAGACTTCAAATTAATGTCTGATCTTGCTGGTTATTTTGAAAATTGAGTGTGAGGATGTTTAAGTTGAAATATCATAAAAGGAATACCAAGGAACTTGCTACTCCAGAGTAGATAAAATTTCAGAATTGTTAGTTCTGGCTGTTTCCCCTGCCCACTGGCCCCACCTTCTTAAAGCTGGTAGGGAAATAAATAACTGTGTCACCTGGAGCCACCTGAGTCACCTGGAGCCACAGAGAACCCTTTAGCTACCTTCTCAGGAAACTCAACAAAGTATTGTCTCTCCAGGCTAACTTTGGGGGAGCCTGGAAAGTTGGTTTTACAGAGCTTTTTTTTTTTTTTGGTACCGTGGATCAAACTCGGGAGCTTGCGCTTGTGAGGCAGCTGCTGGAACCACTGAGCTAAATTCCTGGTCCCTACAGAGCTTTTTAAAATATTCTCTGTATATCAGTTTTGCCCACAAGGATCTAGACTGTTTGGGAGTAATTAATCTTCTGAAAGTCATTTTGAGGAAAAGTACAATGGAAATACCAAAAACATTTTTGTATTAATGTTGAATTGATCTGCTCACAGACATTACCAAACCTTTTTACTTTAGAGATGAATTTTTCTGCTTTTTGAGTTTACTCAATTTCTGCTAACATATTAGCTCTCAGTATATCTTTGAAGCTTTGGTGACATGGGATATTTGACTATAAGCTCTAGGTCTAGAAAAGTTATAGTTTGTGGGCTAGGTGTAGCCCAGTGGTAGAGTAGAATGCTTGCCTAATGTGCAAAAATGTCCTGGGTTTGATCTCCAGCATTGCCGAAAAAAAAGGAAGAAAGAAAAAAATGTAAATTGGTCACAGTTTTAAAAGCTTTCCCTTCTCTTGTTTCAGATCCATTCTCAGTAACTAAGTATGTGTTCTCTTGTTTGTTCCTAGGATGGCCCAGATTCTGTTGGAGGAAACCGGACAAAGCAGGAGAGTGCATGGATATTCAGGCTATGGTATAGCTTTGACCACAAGTATCCTTTTAAGTGGCATCTTTGTGAGACTGATGATGAAATCTACTAGCTGAGTTGTCAGTGAATGAATTCTGATGAACAAGGAAAGATGTGTGCTTGGACAGTTATAATCAGTCCTCTCTTGGGACATATGCATCCATCCTTCAATCACAAGTAGTCCTGGTGGGTATCTCGCTGGTCAAGAGGAATGTTTGCATATAATCAGAGTAGCTAGATTATAGCCTGGTGAACATAATGGCTCTTGAGAGCTTTTTGTCCAGGGAACTCTGCCTTTGCAGGTGAATTCATTAAAATTACACAATGACAATGAAGATGGGAAGTGGAGCTTGGAGAGTTAACCTGTGTGGGAAGGATAATTCCTATTGAACTTGGCCAAGTCTGATATTATACTAGAATAAATGGGCCACATGTGGGGCAGATCATATTCTAATAGATTTTTGGTCTCAGATAAAAATTAAAAACCAAAAAGTTAAACCTTCTTGGTTTTTAAAATTGGCAGACAGGCACACAGGTAATGGGGAAAAAAGTAAGAACTAAGATATATCATGTACAGGTACAAGCACCCAATGATAAATGTAAACGTATTGTATATCTAAAATGTACCAATAAAAGAATTAAAAAAATAAAAATAAATTAAATTGGCATAGTGGTCAAATGGACAAGTGGCTTATTCCAAATGGTTTTTAGAGACACTGAAAAATTTTTTTAAAGTATTTACTGAAGTACAATATATGGTCAAAATGTCCAGTGAGAGATTACATTTTTAAAAAATTATTACAGTAAAAGATATTGCCATCAACCCCCTTCAAAATACTCAGCTTTGCTTTTCAACACACTCATCCCATCATTCTTGCCACTTCCTGAAGCAGTTCTGGAAGTCCTCTTTTGTGAGTATCTTTACAAGATGTGATAAAAAATTTGGTGAATCCTGCAGGCTCATAAAAACATGGTGTGTCCTCATCCACCTTATTAACTAGATCTGGCACCATGCAACTTCTCTTCTCCAAAGTGAAAATGACCATGAAATGTAAATTTTTAAAATCAGTTCAGGACATGAAGGCAGTTACAACTGCTCAACTAAAGATACAAAAAAGGACTTCCAGAACTGCCTCAGAAAATGGCAAGAACTAGAGCCAGGGATGTAGCTCAGTGGCACAGCACCTGCCTGGCAAGTTTGAGGTCCTGAGTTCGATGTCCGGTACCAAAAGCAAAGAAAGTGGCAAGAACTATGGCATAAGTGTGTTCAAGGCAAGGGGAAATATTTTGAGAGAAATTAATGGCAATTTGTCTTTTATTGTAACTTTTAAAATTTAAACTTTCATTGAATGTTTTTTTAATCATACCTTGAGGTACTCAGAAAGGTACATAAGCCATATGTGCTTTAAAAGTTACCAAATAAACACACTCATTTAACATCAAATTGGTCAAGAAACCCAAAATTACCAGTTCCACTCATGCCATAACCCAGTTGCTCTCCTCCTCAAATGTAGCCACTCTTCTGACTTCTAGCAACATTGTAGTTTTGTTTTCTTTTTATGTTGTTCCAACTATTCTGCTTGATTCTAGAGTGAATAATATTCATAGTGACATTATTACTTTTTTTCCAATGCTGAGTATCAAACTCAGGGCCTCACTCATGCTGCTCTACCACTGAGCTACGTCCTCAGCCCAAAGACATTAGAAATACTCCTTTATTGGTTTTTCACACTTAATCTGTAGACAAAGCATAAAAAATTTTCTTATTATCAAATGGCAAATATATTTGCAGTATATAATTATAGCTGGACAGAAGAGACAGTTATAATGAATTACATTTATTCATAAGAGGGTATTAAAAATCTCTGACTGTTGCTTATGAATCAAGAACTACAAAAACTGTATTGTATAAAGTGTAATGTCAATTACCAGACCGGTGAGGATGGGAAAGAGAGACTTAAAGTTTCATATTGTGTGTTTCATTCAACAATTTGAATATTTAAAAGTTTGCACAGGTGTGTGTGTGTGTGTGTGTGTGTGTGTGTATGTGTATGTGTGTATACAGAGTCCGCCAAAAAGTGTATACATACTTCAGTAAAAGAAAAAGTTATATAAATATTTTAATACTAAATTTATTGAGATACTATGAAATTAATAAAAGTTACCTTTGACCTCTACAATTATAAGAGGTGCTCAAAGTGGTGGCCATTAGGGCCAGGGATTTAGCTTAGTGGTTTTGTCGCCTGCTGTGCAAGTGCAAGGACCGGAGTTCAATCCCCGGTACCAAAAAAAAAAGTGGTGGCCATTAGCTTCCAGACATTTATTAGTATGGTGAACTGCTGCTTGTGGTACCTTGGCCCATTGAGATTGCTGCATATGCATTTTCAATTTCTTCTCTAATAACCAGCAGTGTAGTGGGTTTCCTGCAATATGCAACATCCTCTAGGGTCCCCCATACAATGGTAACACCATCTGTTGAAAAAACATCATACTGTTTTTCTTTTCCTGGAGTGTGTATACATTTTTTGGCAGACTCTGTATATGTTTCTTTTTAAGGAAGTTGTTCTAGGCCTTCTGGATTTGGGGAAGTGGGGTCTTGTCTTTGAAGTGCCTGAAGCAGGAAACTGAAAGGCAGCTTCTTGACTATTCATCATTGAACAGATGGGATCCTCTGTCATCTTCCCAGAAAAGACAGGAGAAAACTGATGTCCCTGTAAGGGCTGTGCCCAGACTGAATGAGTGCCTAGCCTACACCTGTCCCCAGGTCTATGGTTAAAGGATAGCAGTCAGAAGGGAGCTCATTCTGTCTGAAAAGTGCTCCAATAGAGCCTTCATGTCTATCCTCTTTGTCTCAGCTAGAAGCATACCTCAGCCCCCTCTCTCTCCTCCTCAGAGAAAGCTGTTTCCCTCAGGTGCTGCTCTAAATGAGGACAGGAAGTGATAGTGTCCTCAACAGTCTAGTCTTTTAGGCACAGACCTCTATAACATCTTCTTGTCTTCCTTTAACATCTCTTGTGCATCCTTGAAGTCAAAGTGGCCACCTGAGACTCTACCTTTTCCATATGGCTTAGGCTATGGGTCTCAGCAATAGTCCAACTCTCTCCTAACAGGACAGGTGCTCATTGGTGCTTCCAACACAGGGTTGTGCATTTGGCAGCACAGATGTTCGTTAACTGACAAACTCTGGAATCTCTGAATATCAGTTGACCTTCATATTGGAGCACTAGTCTTAACCGAGGGTGAATTTTCTTCCTGGGGGACATTTGGCAACCTTTTGGAGACATATTTTTCACAACTTGGCTAGGGGAGAAGAGTGTTACTGGCATCTAATGATAGGAGACCAGGAATGCCTCTCAGCATCCTACCATGTATAGCACTGTCCCCCACAACAAAGAATGATCTGGTCCCAAATATCAGTAGTGTCAATGTAGAGAAGCCCTATGTCAGAGAGTCTGGGAGAGAGGTGACAGATAGAATGAAGAATAATCCTGTAATGGGAAGTTGAGAGAGTTAACAGTGGAAGTGAACTTACTGAAATCATTTTATCTTGCCACGTCTGTTTCCTTTTTCGTAGTAGCCCCAGGTTACGTCTAAGGTTCTGTGCAACCCCAGTATTTTCACTGTGTACCCTCTAGGCCAGTGGTGGTGAATCTATGGCACATGTGCCACAGTGTGCTGATTGTATCATTGAAAGCTCTAGAAGGTTTGCCATCACTGCAGTGGTTTAACAAGGATACTTGCAGAGAACAAGAGCAGAGGAGGGCCGAGGATTTAGCTCAGTGGTACCATACTTGCCTGCCAAGCGCCAAGGTCCTGAGTTCAATCCCCGGTACCAAAAAAAAAAAAAAGAGGAAACCCCAGGATTAAAACTCCCACTCCACTCCTGTTGGCAAAACTTGAGATGGTCATGTGTCAGAAGCTGAAATGCTGTCAGGTGTGATGACACACACCTGTAATCTCAGCACTTAGGAGGCTGAGACAGGAGGATAGCTGTAAGTTTGAATCCATCCAGGGTTACATAGTGAGTTCAAGGATAGCCTGAACTACAGTGAGACCTTGTCTCAAAAAAACAAAACAAAACTGAAATGCTGATTGGAACCTAAACAAAGAACTCAAGTATATTCTAATGAATCCAATATTTTTTTAAACTGACAATTGGGAATCATCATTTAAGACTGATGTGTCATATCTTAATTTTCCATTCCTATTGCTGCAGGTTACAAGTATTTCATGTTATGTTCTGGTAAAATAGAGGGGAGGAGCTTTTATGAGTAGAATATTGAACAATTTACTGTCTGGTATTTTAAAACACATTTTGTCATGCGTGTGTTTTCTTTGCAGCCATTTTTCCTTAATTCCCTTTTTAAAGTTACTTGAAACCCACCCTCACACACAGCGGCCCCCCACTAACCAGCACTCTGCCTGCCTGGTGTGGCTTGCTAGCTCGATGTCTGACCAGTCCCCAGGTGTATGACGTAAGTACAGTGTATTAGCAACTTTCCCATCACTGGGACAAAATACCTGACACTCACAACTTAAAGGAAGAGAGGTTTATTTTGCCTCATAGCTTTTTAAGGATTCAGTCCTTAGCTGGCTGGCTCCAAAAGGCAGGTGGAAAGGTTTGGGGGAAGAAAGCTGTTCACATCATGATAGCTAGGATGTAGAGAGTGAAGGAAGGAGCCAGGGATAAGAACACACCCTTCCAGGCCACATCCCCAGTAACCCACCTCCAACGGGGCCCCATTCCTGACAGCACATTCAGTTATGAATGTATCAATGGATGATGAATCCATTGATGAGCATAGCACCTCCATAATCCAATCACCTTCCAAATGCATGAGACTTTGGGGGGACATTTTAGATCTAAACTAAAATATGAAGCATTTGGCACTGTGTTCCTGCTCACCATAGCAGGATGGTCTCTTACCTAGGAACAAGAAACCCATCACACCCGTACCTCAAAACCCACAGATTTTGCTTGTCTAGTAATGTGATGAGAAATGGCCAATTCACATAAGTTTATATATTTTTCACAGTAACAGAAATCTTATACCAGGTTATGGAGGTTTTCCAACGTGGGCAGCTGTGGCATAATAGAAAGAATACTGGATCAGGAATCAGAAAAACTAGATTGGAATCCAAACCCTGACATGCCTTGGTTTTCTTATCTGTGAAATGGGCCTAGTAGTTCAGGCTGGCTATGAGCATTAAGGTAAGGTATGGCAAGATACACTGTGAACTACAAAGCATTTCACAAATATAAGTTTTTTTATTGTAAGAATTAGTTTATTTATGTTGATATGTTTAGGTCTTTTCTTCCCGTTTTCTAGTGCTAGAAGTGGAGCCAATACAGTAGGGAAAGAACATCCATGCTGTGCCCACCTTAGCCTTTGGGCTGACTTGAGCTCCTGATGTGGATCACAGGGCAGAGAGGTGGATAGAGCAAGCAGCTACCCACACAGAAGGAGTACAGGGGAGGGCAAAAGCTTCTTCTTTCCTCATCTTTCCTTCACCCTCATAATCATCTTGTCATCAACACAGTCATTATCCCCTAAGAGAAGAGAGATTCTTAAACATGTATACAGCTTTACAGCTCCCAAAGGCTAATTTTGTTCTTTTAACCACACCTTGAAGAAGCACATACTGCAGTGTTACAGTTGAGGAAAGTACATTGCAGGAATTATGTGAGTTGCCCATAGTCCCACAGTTACTAATTGGCAGAGCTGAAACCTTAATGTAGGTCTTCAAATAATTAGCAGATAACATGCATTTTCCCTGATCAGTGATTAGAAAGCAGAACACAAACCCCAGGTCTGAGGGAGAAGGGCCTTGAACAGGAAGTTTTAATGGGGTAGGGAGTGGGGGAGATGGGGCTAGGAAAGGTGGTATGCATTCAGGTTGGACAAAGGGGAAAACGATGTGGATACCATAGCTAGCCAAGGAACACTGAGGCAAAGGGCAGCCACATTAGAGCACCCACAATTAGATGATGCAACTTCTTAGATGGGGTGCTGCCCTGTCACTTCTCCCACTAATAAATCTCTTAAGTGATTATGCCTTTAAAATCTTCTCTAATCTGAAGGGTACTGGATCATAGTAAGCATGCTCATAGATTAGGACTATTTGGACCAGTTGAAACTCAGCATATACTCAGTAAATTTACAGTCACGTGAACTTAAAGTACTTCTCTCACTAGCATGGGAGACTACACAAGATTTGCCCCCTGAGGTAATGTTTGGGCTCTGGACTCTTCATAGCCAAGCTAAGATGGGGAGACTTGGGCTACCAGCAAGAACCACCCTCAATGCTATTGCTACCCCTTTGGGCTGGCATCCTGCCCAGGTTCTCAACCAGCTCCAGACACAGTGAGGCCTGCTGGCAAGAGAGTAGAAGCAAAGGGTCCTTTCAGACTTCTGTCATTTGAGGACCCCAGAGTTGAGTGAGGTAGAGGGGCTCCCTGTGGGACATCATGCATGGTGAGGGTCTCAGACTGGACAGTTCTCCCAGCCATTTGGCAGTTGTGTGGTTCTCGCCCATCACCTATCGGGCATTTTCACCAAGTTTATTTGAAGATATCTAGGGTGTACATCATTCATTATTTCCATTAACTCTAAACCACTTATATTGGTATCCACCAAGAAAACAGTGTAATTTCATTTACAAAAATGACCTCTGGTTACGTACAATGCACATATTTCCACAGTGCTCTTATTTGCAGGTGTTTTGGGGATTATTTCCATAGCAGCCTTCTCTGAACAGGTAGTTATATAATCATACACACCTTTGGCTTAACCAAACTTATCATCTAGAATTTGAGGAGTGGGATGGTTTCATCGTCTCCATGTAACATTCATTAATCTTTGATTTAGGAGCCATTCCCCACCAGGTTTTACCTTGCTCTTATTTCTGAACGACCTCTCCTTGGGTACTGACTGAGCTAGTGAGTGTTGAAAATGCAACAGATCAATATCCAGTCTTATTTTCTCCTGCCAGTGAGTCCCTCTGCAGAGTCAGAGCAGGCCATGCTGGACCCGAGGTTCAGAGTGCTGTGGTGGGCTTTCCTCCATGTACGGAATCACCTTCACATGCTGTGGCCTGTGTTTTTCTTTCTTTGTGTTGCCCTAAACCTTGAAATAGTAAAATATGCACCAGGATCATCTCCCTGAAAATTGGGAGCTAAGAACCTGGCAGAGGTATTTTGACAGAGATGAACAAAAACATTACTTAGCACATGTCTGAACAGGAGAACTGGGACATGCCAAGATGGGAAGACTCACTTGAGAGCTGGAAACTTGAATGGGGCACATGATCTCATTTGTTGTTAAGAAAATTCTCATAGGACAGATTGAGTTTCAGGACCTTGTAAACACTATGGGAGAGGAGGAAATTTGGGCATTTGGAATAAATTTGAAAACTGCTTTACACATCTGCCTGAGTGCAGGATTTGGATGTCATGGACATCTGCAGCCTGTCTCATTCCATGTTCCATGGGGATCTGAAGCAGCAAGTGAGCTTGCCTGTCAAAAATGCCAGCATGTTGATTAAGTGGAGTCACATTGTGGACCAGGTGGAGAAGTCTACATCACTGACACAATGCAGAGGGCAAGCATGTGCTTGTCACCAGTAAGTGCACAGAGATGGATGGGGGAGAAGTGAGGGAGAATTGACCCATGAATCCTCCTGGCTCAATGCATTTAAAAGGCATTCAAATAGCTCCTGTGACAGGTTGAGCGTCCCTTACTAAAAATGCTTGGGACTGAGTGTTTGTTTGTTTGTTTTCAGATTTGGGAATATTTGCATATGTGTAATGGGATATCTTAGGAGTGAGACTGAAGTCTAAACACAAAATTTATGTTTCGTATATGCCTTGTAGTTATTGCCCAAAGGTCATTTTATATATTTATAAAAATTTTGTGCACAAAACAAAGTTTGTGACTCGTGGAACATTCCAGAGTTTGCATTTTGGGGTTAGGGCTGTTAAACCTGTATAAGATAAGCACCATTGAGGAAGGATTCCAAGAACAGAAGCTCACTGCCTTTGGTGATTTATCACCTAGATGTGGAGTCTGGGTGCTTACTGGGGAAATAGGCCCTTTGCCTTGGGCAGTATGACTGAGCAGGATGAGATATGTTAGAGGAGGCCCTGGTGTGGAGAGAACATAGGACTTCAGATAAGCTTTGAAGGGCTGATAGGAAACAAGAAAGAACAGATCAGTTTACCTGGAGCATTTTGACAGTGTGTTTGCCATTTGAAAAAGACCTTCATAGTGTTTGACAGACCTCAGTGCAGCAGTACTTGCAAAACCCATGGATGAAAGGTTGTCTGACCTCTTGGTGTCTCTTGGCACCGTGCCCCCAGTAGCTTCAAGTGGCCATGATTCTGTTAACACCTGCCTTGTTCAAACTCGTCTGTTTTGCTAGAGCTACTGCTTAGGATGCAAGGCCATTCCAATTATTTTTCTGATAGAAGTTCGTACCTTTCACGTAGATAAAACCAATCTGGAAGCAGGAGCAGTTTTGCCTCGACTTCCTGTCAGCTGAACAACCTCAGGCGTACTTCATGGTTTCTCTCAGCTCAGGTTTCTAGTCTGAGATCTTCACAGGGTAGGGGTCAGGATCAAATGAACTTCTGTGGCGTTCCTGCCTGACACACATAGATGTTCGGTAACATACTCTCACCTTTTCTACCATTCACTGCATCTGCCTGGGCGTGAGGAGAAGAGGCCTTGTCATCAGGGTTTTCCTGTGGAATCAGCAGAGGGTGAACAGGGAGGCAGTCCTAATCCTGGTTTGTCTTCTCTGTGAGTTGCTGTCTAGGACAAAGATGTAAACAAGATGGGATTAGGGTGGTTTGGGTAGGGCAGCTGACCCATGCACAAGACATGTCCAGAGAGGAGAGGAAAGGACTGGGAAGCTGTTTGCAGTGTTTGCCCTGTGACCTTCCCTGTAACTTCCTTTCTTTGTGGATTGGGAATCTGAAAATCCAGCTGGTCTTCCCTTTGACACTAACCTTGTGCTGTCAGGCACTTGAAATCAAAACTACTTCCTACTTTTCTAAGTCCTGGCTCCAGAAACTGCCTTATATTATAGCCCTCTACAGTTTACATCCAGGGACATGCTAGAGGTTTGAGGTAGGCAGGTTTCATCATAATCTTCATTCTTCTGGTGAGTTAAGGTTGGGCTTGGCTCCAGCCCCAGAAGCTATCAGTCTCCCATTTTTGTTGTAATTGTTGGTTGTACCTTTCAGAACCAAGAACCACTGAGAGAGGAAGACTCTGATTTCATCCTGACTGAGGGTGACCTCACCTTGACCTACGGAGACAGCACACTGACTGCGAATGGCTCCTCGGGCTCCCACACAGCCTCCACGAGTCTTGAGGGTGGTCGGAGAACAAAGAGCAGCTCGGAGGAAGTGCTGGATCGAGACCTGGGAATGGGAGACCAGAAGGTTTCCAGCCGGGGAACGCCCCTTGTTTTCCCTCTGCAGGAAAATGCATGATTTTCCCCTAAACTCAGAAGTAGTGGGGTCAGCCTCTGTGGGGAGGGGTTGAGGATGGCTGCAACCCCAGTGTTGTTTGAGGTGAGGCATTGACTGGATTGAAGTAATGGTTCTATTTTATCAGGGTCTGAAGCTATCTTAACACTGAAAATTTAATCCAAGATGCAGACAGTGAAGATACAGTGTCTGTTAGACCTATTCCCACTTTTTCACATAGTAGTGCGCTGTTTTGGAGTTAAGCAAACAAAAACATAGCATGCTTTAATGGTCTCTTAATTCATCAGCCTGCAGCATCTGTCCAAGGTTGGGCAGGTATTGGGGATTCTGACCAGGACAGGCGTCAGCCCCCCTACTCAGCAGTGCCCGTCTAGCTGGCTGGAGAAATGCCAAGTAAAGGGAGAACATGCTAGAAGATAGACCATGAAGGAAGGCAGCTGAGGTTGGAGCTCCAAGAATTCTGTGATACTAGTGTAAAGCGGGACAGAAAAAGCTGTTTGACTGGAGGCTCTGGGAGTGAAGAGAAGGCTACACAACTGCATCCTTCTATCTGGACTCCTGAGTCTCTGCTACCTGTGTTTCTTCTAGATTGAAGAGTAGAAAATATATTGTGAACATTTCAATATGGGGGGGAGGGAGTATAGTTCCTTCTCTGGAAACCTCCATAAGGAAGAAGTTATGAAATGTTTAAAACCAAAGGCAAATAGTGTTACACTGTTGTTTTTTAAAATTAATCTGAGGACAGGAGGTATTTAGAAACTGATAGTATCGCTGCAGAAATCATTCAACTTTTGAGGGCTACCATGTGAGCTGACTGGGAAATGATTAGTAGCATTGAGTTATCTACTGTGGAGGTACAGGTGACACCAACATTTGTAAGATGCTTATATCTAGGGAAAAGAAAGCAACAAGAAACTGAAGAGGCAATAGGCTAGTATTCAGAGGGGAAAAACTCTGATTGAAAAATTACCTGCAAAGAAAATACAATATAGGAGTCTCAAGACCGGGTCAAACTTTGATTCCAAACTTTGAGCCGATACATGCATGTGATTTCAGTGGCCACACAAGAAGCTGGAGGCAAGGCAGTGGACTGTTAAGCATTATTTGACCCAGCAGAAAATTCTATCTTCTGTAAGATTAGGAATCCACACGTTTTGATACCAAGTGCCACACAGAGAGGAGTCATTTTCTTGGTATCTGGGGAGGCTCTTGCACTACCTTAATGTGTGGATGTAGTTTGAAATTTAGGTATTTAGTTAGGGTTCTTTTGGGGTATGTTATTCTACCTGCCCACACCTGTAATAAGTGAAATACTGAGAACGGTTGGGAAAAGTTTTGGGTCTCCCTTCCCCCGTCTTTGTGCTTCAGCATTAGCATTTTTGGAAATTCAGCGTCTTAAAAAAATGCTTTCATAATATGCTGGCATTTTTCTCCTCATAGCAGATGAAATAATATCCCAGTCTAGCACCTCCGTGATGAAATCGGGCATTTAACCTTCTCAACACACATTTTTAATGGTTAGATTTTCCCCTTAGAGACAGGGAGGTCTTGCTGTATTGCCTAGGTTGGTCCTAATCCCCTGGGCTCAAGTGATCCTCCTGCCTCAGCCTCTTGAGTAAGCTGGGACTGCAAGTGTGCAACATGATTCCTGGCTAATTATTATTTTTTAAACTAAGACATAGCGTCACAGCTTTCTGTGTTTGAATCAGTAGTTTGTACAAATAAAAAATTTAATGATGTTGAGCCATGTGAAATTGCTAATATTCAACTATTTTTAAAACTCAGATGGCAGTTTCATATACATCAATATAATATAATTGAATGAATCTTATTTGCCTTTTTCCTTTTTTTTTTTTTTTTTTTCTTTTTGGTAGGTGCTGGGGATCGAACTCATGACCTTGCACTTGCAAGGCAGGTGGTGGAACCACTGAGCTAAATCCCCGGCCCCTTGCCTCTTTCCTTTCTATCTACAATAAAGTCCATTTTTTATTTTATGGTCATCTGTGGGCTTTGTAAGTTTGAAAAGCCCTAAACAACCTACTTAACTCCATCAGGCCTCAGTGTCGCTAGGGCAGAGAAAGACTTCAGAAGACCTGCACCCTACAGTCAGAAAAAGAACTTTCTTAAAGAGCCCCTGGAAGGAAGGCTGTTGGGTTGAAGGGTCAGATTGCAGACAGCAGCTGACAGGCATGACAGAATCTTGGAGTTGTGTGTATGTGCTCAGCCCCAAAGCCAGCACATGAGTATTTATTTAGTAGTTATTTTAGCAATGGCCAGTCATGCTGTATAAGCTTAAAAGGTGACACATATTTTTGTGAATTGTTGTTTTTGATTTTAAGGTAGGGGTCTCACTAAGTATCCCAGGCTGTACTTGAACTCGTGATCTCCGGCCTCAACCTCCCAAGTAGCTGGGATTATAGGTGTGCACCACTGCCCCTAGCTTGTTTGGTTTTTTGAAGGGATAGAGGAAGGAATGTCAACCACAGGTTGACACTCTGTGGTTGGTCTCTATAAAGCCTTGCTTATATGTTGCTTAATTTTGGAGGGAAAACGCTAATAGAAAAGCCATGATAATTGTTCTTGTACAAAGCCAACCAGGTAGGATATACCCTGTCTTCATCTCAAGCTTTTGTCCTTTTGGATTCCTAGGAAGCTTTCAGCAGATTATAAGAAATTAACCCCTTAGGAAAGAAAAATAACTACTATGCTTCTCAGCCTAGTCTTAGGTCAATCCATAGATGGTTATGTTTTTCCCCAGAGGGTCTTGTAGTCTTCATTGCAAACCATTTATTCTGACCTACCTAAGTATAACTAAATGCAGATCTGCCAAGACCAAAACTAGGGTTGTAATTATTTGATTAAGTCTTTTATGCAATGGATCAATGTAAGTCACTTTGACCTGTTGTCCTCACTTTTGTCCACAAGATGGGAGAACACTTTGAACTTACCAGGGGTCCTGGGTAGATCAGTCTATTTGTTGAAATGGTTTCACATCCAGAAGCCTTATGCCTAGGCTGTGTGGAGAAAAGTAGGGTGCCACGAAGTCCAGGAACCATCCAACTCAAGGCCAACCATCTGCTGTCAGTCTGGCTTAAAAAACAGACTTAAAAGTGCTAAGTTGTGTGCATCCAACTAAACAAAGTTCTTCTGAGAGTCATCCCCAGTCAAGTTGTTCTGGCTTGAGGAGGGTGACAGTTCAGTATGGTAGGATGTTCTAGAGGAAAGGTTCTGAATTCTGGGTGCACATTAGGATCACCTGGCCAGCTTTTAAAAAAACATTATAAACTTGACACAAGGGCATCAAGCTCTGAGACTGGGATTCAGTAGCTTTGGGTTGGGGCGTGGCGCCTATGCTCTGGTTTAGAACTTCAGAGGTCCTCATGTGCAGCCAAAGCTGAAAGCCTTTTGGTTAGAGCTTGTAGTGAACCCTATTTGAAACTTTAAAGAATGGCTTAGCAAATTAAGGGTTTGGTTTTTAATTGTTAGTCATGAGGGACAAACTGAGTATTGATCAGTAACAGAGCCTAGGCAGCTGTAAGAGAGTTTCACGCTAACCTTTGCGGAACTCAGGAACATACTCCATAAAGTACAACTGCACAGGTCACATTTGAGAAACTTAGAGCTTTTGAGAGAGAAGGGTGACTTGAGTATATGTATGAGGAGAATTTAAAATGTCATCTTCATTCCCATTTGTGAGGGGAAAATGTAGGGTTTGTCATAATTGTTGACTAATCAAACATGAAGGTTTCTGGGAAGTGATCTTTGAAATTTAACATGGAATTAAGTTAGCAGTCCCTTTTGTGGTCAGACTTGTTCTTTTGTTTGTCCCCATGCCTAAATTCATGTTGGCTTTCTTAGAATAAGAGTAGGCCCATTTACTGCCAGAGCACAGGGAAAGGTTATGATCATCTTGCTATCACATGGTGGCAGTGGTATACCTACAACAGAAGATAAAAACCCTTATTCTTTTTAATAATACTCTTTGCAGAAACCATAAGAAAACCTAAACATTCCTAGATAAGGATTTTTGAAATTTAAATATGGCTAGGAAATAAGCATGGGAAGGACATATGGACTGACATCCAGGGTATTCACAGGGGTGGCCAGACAAATGAATATTGATGCCTTGAAGCCAAAAATCACACTGTGAAATCAAATGTCTCATCAAGTAAACAGCAGGAAGCTCTTTAGGCTGTGTTCTCTAGACTCACAAATGTCCTCTGTGGTCTGGTTGACAAATGAAACCTCTTTAGAAAAAATGCAAAGTGTTATCTCAGCTGTCTATGAACATTTCAGTTCAGGGCAAATAATTAATTTCTTCCAAAACAGAGCTCTGTTTCCATGGCCCCACACCATCTCATTCCCTTTCCTTGTCTTCGGTGGAAGTTAATGTAATCATGCCAGATTCAATGTAAACCACCACCAATGCATTTAGGGAAGATTGGTAGCAAGGCAATTGAGCAACTCATCAGAGGTAAAAGTCATCTACTTGGAAACCTGTCTTGTCCCCACTGTGAGTTCTAAGAGGTATATCAAAAAGCTGACTATCTTGTTCATTGTAAAATGTAAACTGGAATGAGGGTACCTGCTAAGTATATGCCTTCTTATTCCACCTCAGAAGTGAGGGAGCTTGACAAACTTTCACCCCTGCCTTTTGATGTTGATTCTGTAGGTCATTTAGTGCAGGCAGGAATCTGTCATATACATTAGACTGGTATTATTGAGTTCTGGTCTCTTTTGTTGTTCTTTAAGTGATATTCGCTTGCTAGTGTCAACTGCTGCATTCTGATACAGTAAGTTTTAAAGGTATCTAGTGGCCATGAATCATAATTTAGGAACGACCCATCTGAATGCTGCTTTCACTACTCTGATACCTGAAAAGACCTTCCTCCTTTTTCAAACCTAGTAAGAGCAACATATTAGAGAATACTGTACAAATGAATGCTAGTGTCTAACCAGGAAAAGGAAGTATACTCTTTGACAGTCCTTTCAAAATAAGACCTAGATAAACAAACTATTCCTTTTTCAGTTTCAGTTTTCATACTTTTAAAAAAAGTAGCAAACATACCTTGTCTTGTCACCCAGTGGTAGTAAAAGTTGTAAAAAACAAAACCAAAGTTTTTGGTGTTAGTTTTATTTTGTAAGCAGGGTATATTACAACTATGGCCCAGAGGGAAAAGCACAGGCAGCCAGTTCTTGGCCACCTGAGCCTTGGGGAAGATGAGAAGGGAGGTCTGTCTGCTGTACTACCTTTTAAAAATGCGAGCTTAACAGAGTTGCCAAATGTCACAGTCAACTGTCAACTCCTAGCCCTCAGAAAGTTGTCTGGGCCTGAAAAGGACTGTAAACAGCATGAAGCACTTAACATCTACTATCTAAAGCACTTTTACCATCCAGGTGTTACTGGATGACTAACTTCATGGACATTTAGGGGCTGACTTTTGTCGTGTTTATTCCCATTGTGGGCTTTGAAGAAGCAGAGGAATGATTTTCAGTTATGTGGATCCTAAATGTGTGGATTTATAATTTCTCACTGAAATCACTCATTCATCTAAAGTGTGACTTCATATTCAGGTCAGCTCCTTGTAGATTATCTTTTTATTTTTTACATAAAGTACATCTAATACTTATTTGAAAGTGTCCATTAAAATCATCAAAGGGGAAGGCCACCAAGATTCATTTAATGTGTGAAAAACAATTTTTTAAAGTAGAATAAGATGAATTTAACATGGAATGATGTGATCTTCGGGGAACTTTTTATAGAGGGCTTACATATTGTATTTGGGGAGAATTTTGTCTTCTACTTCCATTCAACAGTAGCAAACTGGTGGTTTTATAAGATTAACATAGTATGTTATATAAACATGTTATATAAAATGACATTAAAGTATGTTATAACTGTGAAAAATTAAAGACTTGGAGTTATCCGCAACTTTTATGTGCAATAAGGAAAACTGCAGTAGGCCCCCAAAGTGCTATCTTTCCTTAGCATTTTGCTTAATGTTTGCCTTTGTATAGATGTTTACATTGCTATTGTAAAACCAGCCATGTGTTTTCCTGCCCTTTACTGATATTGAACACATTTTCACGTTTTCTCAAAGCTTTTTTTTTTTTTACAAAACTGAAAATAAAATGATTAACTAGCTGAGCTAATCTTGTTTTGTATTTTTAAAAAATCATCTCTTAGTAGAAAGGTGCAGTATTACCCTATTCCAAGCCTTTTTCTTTCTTTCACTGCGAAGTTCTTTTCTGGATGGAAGCTATTTCTCTGCAGGAGAATTCATTTAGACCGGGGCTGGCAAACTATGGTGGGCCCCTGAACCAAATCCAACCCACTACCTGATTTGTAAAGTTTTATTGGCATCTACTGTCCTCATTCATTAGTATGCTATCTGTGGCTGCTTTCACACTACTGTGCCAAAGCTGAGGAGATGTGATGGCGATCTAAGCCTAAACTGTTTACTACCTGGCCCTTTCCCAGGAAAATTCTTACCCAGCCCTGATTTAGATGCTTGAAGAAATCCAGTTTTAAAATAGGGTGTAAAAATAATGGCAACAGATTTTTGAGATGGTTTAATGTGCCATAGGGTTAAGAGAAATGCTTGCAATTTGACCTCTGCCTAGGATTCCTTCTGGCCTGCAGTAATCTAATAGGCTTTGAAAGCCCTGAAGAGGTCATCTCTGAATGTTGACAACATCAAGCTATAAGATTGAGGCAAATAAACGTTAACACTGAGCTCAATGCTTCTGACTAGATAATTGCTAAAATTGTTGAACCCAATTTAGTTTCCTTCAGAGTCTATGTATTGCTTTGTATGGAGGCTAGCTTTTACTTGAACCATGCAATTGAACTACATCCTAAATCTGCCTAACAAAACAAAATAAATCCTGACATTAGCATGACTCCAGAGTCATTTAATTGCATAATTTATAAAAATACCATATACAATTTCAAAGCAAAATTCTGTTTCAATTCATTATGATTCTTCCACCCCAGGGAGAAAAATTGTTTATCAAAACCTGGTTTGAGGTTGAAGGAAAGCAGGAAGAGTCATGTTTAAAACAGTATTACCCAGACTGTTTATTTACTGTTAAGTAATTTAATCAAGATAGACAGGACTGCATATTATTCACTTATTCACGTTGATATTTTTGTCCAGACATCTGTTGATGTGAAATGGAACCAAATCCCATCTTGTCTTTGTTGTAAGCTTTGTTGAAATGGCTCCAGCAGAGGCAGGTTCAGCCTGGGAACTGAAGCTCTTCCGATTTTATGGCCATAAATATCCACATTGAACTGTCACTTCGGCTCCACCAATGTGTCTGTCATTATTTAACAGCTCAGGATATTCCTGTCCAGCAGAATTGCACAGCGGTTGGTACCAAGTCAAGTCCCAGTCTCTGACAGTGTGATAGATGGCCTCCGCAGTGCTGCTGCTCCTGTGCTGGCGCAGCATGCTGAGTGCCCCAGTTCATGGGAACTGACCTGGAAGGGAAGGAACAAAGGACATTTGAACTTCAGACCACAGAAATCCATATACAGAAAGTCTGTTGAACCCTGGTGATGTAAACGATAGTCTCCCTTGTCCAAGCTTTATTATCCAGTGCTAGAAATCTGTACTGAATCTGAATCTATCATTTCTGGTTTGGGAAGATGGGTCGGGAGAAAATGTGACTCAAGAGGTGTTTAATGAGGTAAGACAGGAAAATGATTGAGGTCTCTCTAACCATATGCCTAGGCTTTAAGCAGCTGCCCTTGTGGGGTGCCTGTTGAGAGCAAAGAGAGCTCTCTGGGACCTGCTGGGTAGAAGAGAGGGGGAAACTGGCATTGAGCTGTACGTTTAGGTACCAACCACATAGCCATCCATTCTTCATTTGTCTGCCAGTTCATGTATGCAAAATAAGTCATGCCAACAAGAGTCAACTCTTCTATAAAACTGAAGCTGTATATAAGCAGCCTGTCCAGCTTTCTACCTTTATGGCACTTGAACTTTTTCTTCTTCCATTTATATACATTGCGTGTGTCACTTTCAAGATTATTAAAAATGTACAGTAAAGACTCATACTAAGCAAAGTAAAACTAATTTTATAAATGTCATGAGGCCTTTCTGCTAGTACAGGTTATTTATATAAAAGAGCCACCATGTTAATTTAGTTTCATAAAAACCAGTTTCCAAGTGGGCTGACTTCTGGTTCTAGACAAGATAAAGCAGATGCATTTCTTATTCCTCCCACAAAATGTAACTAAAAATCCCAACATGGTATATAAAACAAAGAAGACTCTTAAGGGTATAGAGAAGAAGGCACACTGATGAGGAACCTTGGGAACTGAAGAATGACCTGGCCAGAAACCACGGTCAAAGATAAAAGGAAACCCCAGAAAAGCCTGTTATCTCTAGCCAAAGGAAAACAAAAAAGGTCAGCTTAAAAAGACAGAAACCAAGCACCACAGGAAAAAGCACCCTTTCTGTTAACACAGATCTAGTGGAAAGTCAGAGCTTTTTTAGACTGCCACCCTGACCTGGCAGTAACCAGGTGGTGTGCCCCTTTCTCCACCACTGTGCTGTGGAGGCCTGCTAAAAGAGAAGATTTAAATAAGACTCAGAGATTCCTAACATGACTGTCCCCCAAATGTCCAGGATTCAATAAAACAAACACTTGTCAAACCAAGGACTAGGAAAATTTTAACTTAAATGAGAAAAGATAACTGACACAAGTAAGCTGTGCTAAGTTACATATGTATAACCCAAAGGAACCAACAGAATTAACATTCAAAAGAGAGACTCAGAAACACTGCAGATAGATAAAATTCTAAAAATGTTCAGGTAATAGGCAGGAAAGGGAAACAGAAGAACAAAGAATGGGGAACAACAAATCAAGTTTTAAAATGGCAGACTTCAGCCCTAAAATATCAATAATCATTATATAGCTTAAATACACTAAGAGATTGCCAGAATGGATTTTTGCAGTGCTGAGGACTAATCCTGTGCCTTGTGCATGCTAGGCAAGCATTCTACCACAAAGCTATATCCTCAACCCTGGAGTGGATTTAAATATTACCTAACCATATGCTGTCTATAAGAAATTCATTTCAGATACAATTACAGGTAGGCTGAAAGTAAAAAGATGGAAAATATACACATTAATCAAAAGAAAATAATAGTTATAGTAAAATCATAAGACTTCAAGAAAATTACAGGGAAAAAGGACACTACATAATGGTAAAAGGGTTAATCCATTAAGGCATAGCAAACCTAAACATGTACATAGCAAATAGGAGAGCTAATTTTCCAAAGCAAATCTGATAGAATAGGAAGGAAAAATAGACAAAGCCACATTGATAATTGGAAACTTTCAACAACTTTTCTCAACAACTGATAGACCTATCAGATGAAAAATCAACAAAGATATAAAATAACTGAATAATATCATCAACTAACATGATTGAATTGACATATATTGAACACTCTACCCAATCATAGTAAAATTCATATTCAAGTGCACATAGAATATTCACAACACAGACCATATCCTAGTTCACAAAACCTGAAAAAATGTAAGAGAACTGATATAATAGAGCATGTTCTCTAATCATAATGGAGTCAAACTACAAATCAGAAACTGGAAACAGTTTTACATGATCATAGCAGCTCATGCAGAAAAGGCATTTGACAAAATTTAACATCCATTCAAGATAAAAATTCTCAGCAAGCTAGGAATAAAAGGGAACTACTTCTTCAACTTGATAAAAGACATTTACATAAACCTACATCTGCCAGAATCCTTTATGGTGAAAAACTGAATTATTTCCTCTTTAGGGGAAAGTTATGAAAAACATCATGCAGGAACAAGGGAAAGACAGATATTCTCCATTCTTATTCAGCATAATACTGGAACACCTAGACATGCAATAAGGCAAGAAAAGAAAACATACTGATTGGAAAGGAGAAAATAAAACTGTCCCTATTTTCAGATGATATAATTATATATGTAGAAAATATACAGAATGTACCAAAAACCTAGAACTATTAAGTGAATTCAGCAACTTTTCAGTATATTAGGTCAATGTTTTAAAAACTATGTTACATATACTAGAAATGGATAAGTTAACACCAAGCTTTAAAAGTCATACTATTAGGCAGACATGATGTATAATCTCAGCACTTGGGAAGCTCAGATAGGAGGATCACCTATGTAGCCTGAGCTACATAGTGAGTTCAAGTCCATCCTGGACTTACAGCAAGACCCTGCCTCAAAAAAAACAAACAAAAACAATTCATACTATATACAATAACTAAAATGAAATATCTAGGTGTAAGTCAGGTAAAGGATTTTTGTGCTGAAAGCTACAAAATACCAACAAATCTATATCCATAGATATAGATACAAACAAGATCTATATCCATAGACAGACATACCATGTTCATGAACTACAGGACTCAAGATAGTAAAGATATCAATTTTCCCCAAACTGATTTAGATATTTGTGATGGTTAAGGTAGACTGGGGGCTGGGAATTTAGCTCAGTGGTTTTGCCGCCTGCTGCGCAAGCGCAAGGACCCGAGTTTGATCCCTGGTTAAGGTAGACTGGGCCGGGGATTTAGCTCAGTGGCACCGTGCCTGCCTCATAACTGCAAGGTCCTGAGTTCAATCCCAGGTACTGCAAAAAATAAAAATAAAAAAGGTAGACTGTCATCTTGATTGGCTTGGGATCCTCCCAGAGGATTGGAGCACCCTTCTGGGTGTGTCACACTGTAGAGACATGACCTTGGAGTCTATCTCTGGTCCCTTGCCCCTTCCTCTGCTGTTTCCCTGCTATGCTTTCTGGCTACCATGAAATAAGCAAATCTGCTTCACCACACCTTTCTGCCATGATGTTTCTGGATTAACATTAACATGGACTGAATCCTCTGAAACTATGAGACAAGTTAAACTTCTCCTTTAAGTTGTGGGTATTGGGTATTGTGTCCCACTGATGGGAAAGCTGACTAATACAATGTTTAACAAGATTTCCATCAAATTCCATCAATTTTTGTAGATACGGACAAGCTTGCTCTACTCTTTTTATGGAAAGGGAAAGAATAAAATAGGAAAAAATCATTGTATCTAGTCAAAGCAGTGTGGTATTGGTGAAAGGATAGACTTCTA